CGCAGCGCCCTGCGGCCCGGTCCGCGCTCGGAGCGGCCCCCGGGGCGGCCCGGCCCGCGCTACCCTGTGCTCTCGAGCCACTCACCCGTCAGGCCCCACTGCCGTAAGTCCTGCTCCTGCACCCGCGACCGCACCTCGGGTCTGCCCTGAGCCTGGAGGGCCCGCAAGAAGCCGGGCACCTCGCCCTCCATCGGGCTGCGAAAGGCTCCGCCCCGCGGCCCCGCGCTTTCCGTCCACTTCCCGGCGCGCCGCGGGGGAGGGTCCGGCGCCTAGTCGCCGCCAGGGGGCGCGCGTGTGCGGGTCTGAGGCCCCAGCTGGCGCCCGGAGTCACCCTGCGAGAAGCCCGCAGTTCCGGTGGTACCCCACGCGGGGGCGCGGCTGAGTTCCCTCGGGTGTGCGTTTGACAGTGTTCGCGCGCGCTCACAAGGAAGTGCTCGTTAGGGTTTCAGCTTGGACGACCCGCTCTTTTGTTATTTATCCAACACTGACTGCGCTGCTCTGGGGCGTATAGAATTATGAAACCTTCCCTACCCTCCCGCAATCAGTAAGACTGAAAGGATAGTGTGCTCAGTTCTTTTTACACTAATGATCCATTAGATTTATACCCTGAACTCCCCGTATCTACTCCTTACCAGCTAAAGGCCAAAGTTGGGAACCCCACAATGGCAATAAGTGAAAACCACCTGAGTTCACGCTGCAGTGCTCATCTCAAGCGAATTATGGGAATTGATTAAAACAATGTACTAAGTCACCATGATTCATTATCAGCTTTAAGTGAATTTATGATGTTGTTAACATTCACAATAACCCTATTAGTAGATTCTGTTCACCATCCCTGAGAGTGGGGTTGATTGTGGGGAAAACTGGAACAGGAACTATACTATTCTCTGGGTAATATCATCAGAATGCTATCTCCATTAGGTGATATCTGGTGCTTTCCTCTTTGGTAAATTCATTTCAAAGATGCACTCCCACCTCCATCCCCCCATCCTTACCTCCCTATAAAATAAATTTGTTGTGAACTACAAAATACATGACTTCAGATTGGTTTATTCATAAAAAAATCAGAGCACTGTTTTATGAGGCGAATTTTGTGTCGTCATTCCATAAATACTGAGTCATCTGTTGTAACCATCAGCCCAAGCTCATTGCTTACCACTCAAGACGACCAGTTGTTAGGGCAAGGAAAAAGATTTATTTGTAAGGCTAGCAAACCAAGAAGGACGAGGCTATCCGACAAAGACCCCCTTGCATAGGGGCTGCAGGTGCTGTGGGCAGAGTAGTTCCAAGTTGGTGGTCTGCATTTCTGAAGTTCCAGCTGCTGTGATCCTGAGGTTACCAATTAGTTGTTTTGGATGTTGTGCATCGAAAGAAAAGTTGCTAAATAGAAACTTTTGTGGCTAATGTCTCTTTGGTTTATTTTCCCAGAAATAGTTAATTCTATACTTATTAGGATACAAAAGACTCTTTTCCTAGAGAACAAAAGATAATGAAAGGCTACTTTTCCCCCTGGCAGGCAGGGGAAGATTAAATTAGCTGGAGAACAATTTTTAACACATTAGGTGGCTTTGGTCAGAGGTGGCATCTACAGCAAAGGTAATGCGAGACTAATAGTGTGTTGCCTAGCTGTGTGCCTTCCAAAATTAGTGATCTTTAAAAAAAAAAAGTCAAACAAGTGAAGTTTGAGTGTTATTTGGGTTTTTTCTCGGTAATATTGCTATATGCCAAACATTAATGATAGAGCTGGAGATAGAGGTTCTTAATCTCATGGAGCTTATATTTTAAAAGGAAAAAAAAAAAAAAAAAACCACAGCCATTAGATGGGCCTTCTTTAACTGTAGTCATGGTCTTTTAACCTTCACTTTCTAAGCACAGGGTCGCAGTTCCGGTTTAGAGACCAAAAAACAAAAACAAAAACGACAAAAGAACCCAGCCCAAAAAAAAAAAAAAACCACAAAAAAGAACAGCCAGACAAGTGATCAATGCTAAGACAAAAATGAAAGTGTCACATAATGGAGCTGTTGATTTCGTACAGTAGTTTGCCTACCTGGGTCTTTTCTCAAAACCTTTGGTGGCTTCTCTAGAAGGCCCTCCGCCCTCTATAACGACTTGTGGGTATTTTTGCAATCTAGACTTCATGTTTGACTTATTTCCTCCCCTCCACATTCTAATCTGCTATAGTTGTCTTCTAACATAACAGTATCAACCACTTGTCACCTAAACAAAAGGATGTTTATTATTTTTTTACTTAAAGTACATACTGGAGCTATGTATAAATGATAAGCTAAGTAGACTGTTGATATTCATTAGTCTGGCATCTAAAGTACAGCTAAAAAAGGCAGCTGAGAGAGTCCAGGTCAGCAGATGAAGTAACACATATAAAACTTTTACTCTGGATGCTATATGAGAAGAGTCTGTAGAAGGAGGCAAGGTAGAAGAAAGTCTAATTAGCAGACTATTAACAATAGCCTGGGCAAGAGATGATAGATTTGGAACCAGAATGATGGAAATGGAGTGGGGAGTAGATACACTGAATGGGTAGATCTGAAAGGATTTATCAAGATGGTATGTAGGAGAAATAGAAGGGTAAAGGATGACTTCAGGGATTTGACCTGAGCATATGGAAGAATGGAGCTGACTTATAGGGAAAAAAGACAAAGTGAGGCTAGAAGCATTAAGAATTCATTTTTGTGCTGGTTAGTACTGTATGTAGAAATAAGGAACATCTCACATATTGCTGATAGAAATATCAGTTAGTACAGCACTTATAGAAAACAGAAAAACTAGAAATAAAAATAGAACTACCATATGATACAGAATTCCATTACTGGCTGGTATGCAAAGAGAAGGAAATCAGTATGTCAAAGGGTTATCTGCACACCCATGGTTATTATAGCTCTGTCACAATAGTCAAAATATGGAATCAATGTAGGTATCCATTGTTGTATGAATGAATAAAGAAAAGATGGCACATACAATAGAATATAATTCAGCCATAAAAGAAAATGAAATCCTATGGTTTACAATAATATGAGTGAACCTGGAGTTCATTATGTTAGGTGAAATAAATCAGGAGACCAAGGGATGGTGGGAAGGAGGAACAAGAGGACAAACAAGTAAAAAGAATTAAGATATGCTATGTGCATGTATTAGCTTCCCACAATGAATGTAAGCATTATGCACAGTAAACATGAACTAATAAAAGTTTCTAAAGTTTTTTTTTTGTCTAGATCAGGCACAGAAAGACGAATACTGCATGTTCTCACTTAAATGTGGAAGCTAAGAAAACTGTAGAAGCAGCGGGTAGAATAATAGCAGAGACCAAGGAGGAAGAGAAGGAGAGAGGCGGGTGGAGAGAGGACAGTTAGTGGGCACAGGAGTGCAGCTGGATGGCAAGAATAACTTCTAATGTTCTCTAGCATGTTAGAGTATCTATGACAATAATTACTTGAATACTTTAAAATAGCTCTTAGAAAAGAGAGAATGTTCCCCAAACAAAGAGGTGATAAATGTCTAAGATAATGGATAAACTAATTACCTTGATCTGATCATTATACATTGTATACATTTGTATAAATATTTCACTGTACCCCATAAAATATGTAATTATTTCAATTAAAATTGTATAGGTATACAATGTTTGTGTGTGCTACTAGGGATTGAACCCAGGGCTTCACATATGCTAGGCAAGTACTCTCACTCTGAGTTACATTCCAGCCCTTAAATTCTTTTTTTAAAGAATTCATCTTCAGCTTTTGGGCCTGACTGCCATGACATAAGCTGCTGTCCTCCATGGCAGGCCCTTCCATCATGCCATTTCTGCATTTGAGCCTGCTGGTCATGGGCTGAAACTTCTGAAATTTCTCTAGCCCCATTGTACCACATGGCTCCTCCCATTCTAGCACCAGCAGCAGTAATAACAACAGTAGAAACAGTAGCCACTCAGGGTGGGATCGACTCCGAAAATGAACCCGGACTTCAGAGGCCTGTCCACTAACACTACTGCTGAGAACCTGGTGATACTCCATCAATCACATGGGAAAATAGTCTTCACAAAGGTAATACTGGGCAAGACAATATACAAAGTAAAGGTTATGGTTTTGTCAATATCAACAGTTCTGTGGTGGCTCAGAAAGCTGTGTCATCCTTGAAGGCCAGTGGGGTTCAAGGTCAGATGACAAAGCAGGAGGAACAAGATCCTACCAACTTGTGTATTTCTAATTTCTCACTGTTCCTGGATGAGCAAGAACTTGAAAATATGCTCAAATCCTTTGAGCAAGTTGATTTTTCAAGAATACCACATGATTCCAGTGGTACAAGTCATGGGGTTGGCTTTGCCATGATAGAATCAACAGAAAAATGTGAAGTGGTAATTGGTCATTTTAATGGGAAATTCATTAAGACACCACCAGGAGTTTCTGCTTCCATAGAACCCTTGATGTGCAAGCTTACAGACAGAAGATAGAAGAAAAGACAGACAAGTATATCCCTAATGGAAGACCATGGCATAGAGAAGCAGAAGCTGATATGACACTCACTTATGACCCAATGTCTTAGTTACTTTCTTGTTACTGGGGCAAAATACCCAACACCCACAAGTTAAGGAGGAGGAAAGGTTTATTTTAGCTCACAGTTTGTAGAGGTTTTAGTGCATGGCAGGCTTCAAGGCAAGGCAGCATGGTAGGGAGGCACGGCAGAGGAGAAACAGTTCGTGGAAAGGCATGCAGTTCAGGCGGGAAGCAGCAAACCTCCTTGTCCCTTTGTATTCCATCCAGGCTACAAGCCTATTGGTTGTTGCCACCCACACCCAGAGTGGGGCTTCTGTTTTCAGTAAATCCATTCAGCCACACTGTGCTATGCTAAACCAATTAGTGGACTAATTCAGTACCACACACTCTTGATTGCAGTATCACACACCCATGATCCAGCCACCTCCAAAAAGCCCCACCTACGAGTACTTGAGTCTTTGGCAGGACATGTAGATATAAGCCAAAACACAAAACAACAGGTGCTATAAAAAATGGATTTTGTCTTTCACCATACAATATTGCTACAAATTGAATGATCACTTAAGTTTCTTTTACGCCCTATATTGCGTCTCCTGTATCTGCCTACCAGGTGCAAAGTCCTTCCTGGATGCAACCTCAACCATATGTCCTGTAGCACACTGGTGCCACACTAACTGCCTTAATGGGGCACAGCATGTCACTTTAGCCTGTGTCTATGATCAGCCCTCCGGCCCATCAGATGAGTCATCTTATACTCGGCAGCATAGAATGTACATGCCTGCCACATCAGCTGTGCAAGGCACCTGCTTGCCACAGTACACACATGCAGACGACA